AATTTTTGTGTAGATGAACAAAGGCAATGCAACCAAATACTCAAGATGGAAGCATTAAGGCCATAAGTAGAGAAATGACAATGGAAAAAGCTTGAAGAGGAGTTTGAAACTCAAGAGCCTTAGAAGACATCCGATTAATAAGGTAAACCGCCATAGTGACAGCATCGGTCCAAAAATGATTAGTACATAAGCACCAAGAAGAATAGCACAAGAAGTCTCTAAAATATGTCGATTTTCTCTCAGAGCAATACCATTTTGCTGAGGCGTCTGAGGACAAGTAGTTTCATGAATCAAGCCGTGGTAACTGAAATAATTTTTGAATGCACTATTCACATATTCTCCACCATTATCAGATTGAAGTGTACAAATTGTAGCAAAAAGTTGGGTTTTAACCATCTCATGAAATGAGTGGAAAATAGAAAAAAAACTTCATCCTTATTTTTCATCTGATATAGCCATGTCATACGAGTACAATCATCTACAAAAATCACAAACCTTCGAACCCCAGTCATAGTGAATTTGGAAGATGGGCAGAATTTGGAAAATGGGCCTCACATATCAGAGTGAATCAATTCAAAAGGCATCTGACTTTTATTCAAACTCAAAGGATAAGTAACACAATGACTTTTAGCTAAGATACCTGTCTCGCATTTTAAATTCAAATCCGACAAACACGAAAATAAAGCAGGAAATACAAGTTTCAAATAGCTAAATGAGAGATGTCCTAACCAACGATGTCACAGCAAAATGTTTGCCTTATTTTGATCATTGGAGGCTCTCCCGTGATTAGCTTGACCAATTCCAAAACCTTCCATATAGTAAAGCCCCCCTATTTAGTACCACGTTCAATTATATTCTTGGTGAGAATGTCCTGAAGAAGGAAAAAAGCAGGATAAATTGGAATAACACATTTGGCTCACTGACAATAATTTATGAGACAATGATGGTACAAAAAGGGTATTAGTCAAAAAAAGAGCAGGTGATATCATCACTATACTAGTCCCTTCTACCAAAGATATGTCCCCATTGGCATTAGCAATGCTAGTACGTCAACGGGAGGA